CTAGAACTCATACAGGAATTCAGTAAAGTGGCAGCATATAAAATCAATGCACACAAATCAGTGGATTTCCTATACACTATAGGCTTTGTTTTTAAAGTTTATTTTGTATGATATAAGTATAGCTACACCTGCTTTCTTTTCATTTCCATTTGCATGAAATTTTTTTTTTGTCCCTTCACATTCAGTCTGTGTGTGTCCTTATTTCTGAAGTGAGTCTCTTATAGACAGCATATAGATTTTTTTTAATCCACTCAGCTACTCTGTCTTTTTGAATGGTGAGTTTAGTCCATTTATATATAAAGTAATTATTGATATGTATGTACTATTGTCATTTTGATAATTGTTTCCTGGCTTTTTTTGAAGTTCCTCTTGGTTCCTTTTTTCTCTCTCTTCCGTTGTGGTTTGATGGCTTTCTTTAGTGTTAGGTTTAGATTCCTTCCTCATTTTCTTTTGTATATTTACTATAAGTTTTTTTCTTTGTGGTTACCATGAGGTTCACATATAATATCCCATGTATATAAGAGATTTTTTTTATGTTGATAACAACTTAATTTTGGACACATTCCAAAGCTCCTCATTGTATTATTTTGATGACACATATTACATCTTTTAATTTTATGCATCCTTAATTATTTTAATTATAATTAATTTTACTATTTTTGTCTTTTGACCTTAACCTTGCTTTGTAAGTGATGGATTCACTACCTTTACTATATATTTACCTTTTCCAGTAAGATTAATACTTTCATATCTTTTCACATTATTAGTGTCTTTTCTTTTCAGTTTAGAGAAATCTCCTTAACATTTCCTCTAAAGCTGTTTTAGTGGTGATCTCCTTTAGCCTTCGCTTATCTGGAAAACTCCTAACCGCTCCTTCATTCTGAATGATAACCTTTGCAAGTAGACAATTCTTGGTTGGAAATTTTTTTGCTTTCAGCACTTTGAATCATGCCACTCCCTTCTGGCCTGGATAGAGTTTCTGCTGAAAAATTTGCTAATAGGCTTATGAATTTTTCCTTGTACATTAAATAAATTGTTTTTCTATACCTCTTTTTAGATTCTCTCTTTAACTTTTACCATTTTAATTATATATCTTGGTGTGGTTCTCTTTGGGTTCCTCTTATTTGGAATTCTCTGGGATTCCCGGGCCTAGATATCTGTTTCCTCCCCCAGATTAGAGAATTTTTTAGCCCTTATTTCTTTGGATATTTTTTCTGTGTCTTGATGTGCCTTCTCTCTTTTTAAAAAAGATTTTATTTATTTTAGAGACAGAGAGAGTGCAAGTGAGGGGGGGGGAGAAACAGAGGGAGAGGGAGAGAGAATCTGAAGCAGACTCCACACTCAGCACAGAGCCTGATGTGGGACTTGATCTCATGGCTGTGAGATCATGACGTGAGCCAAAAGTAAGAGTTGGATGCTTAACAGACTGAGTCACCCAGGTTCCCCTTGATGTGTTTCTTGTATCTTTTGTTGTAGAGGTGCAGTTTATCCAGTTCTCAGACCCATTTTGGAGGAAAATTATTCTGCATGTAGCTATAAAATTATCATATCTGTAGAAGGAGATGAGTTTAGAGTCTTTTTATATCTCCACCCTGAATCCCCCTTCTTATCTCTTTCCATTAATTTAACAGATTGTATCAGCTTGATTGGTACAAATAGAACAAGTTGGACTCTGTGCCATGCAACTAGCTTTGACATCAAGCTGGTAGATTTCATTTATTAAAAAAATGAGTTCTACTTCTGGGAATATGGAATTGGGTATATAAATGAACAGACTCTGTCTTTTTAAATCTGCTTTCCTAAATTATTTTTTTTTAAGCTTTAAATCCTATACTACATTAGTAAACATAAAGCAGAAAAAGGAATGAGTGTCTTAATTATTCTAGAAACATCTTGGAACTCTTTTTAGCACCAGACCAGGCATAATTCTTATACAGAGCAGAGACAGTCTGTAGCATTCTTACATGGAAAAGAACAAAAACTGTGAGTCCTGTCTTTTAATCTCCTTCTTCCCATGGAAGATAAGGAATTGGGCACTAGCAATAACACATATGATTTGCAAAACATTTAATATTTTCAAGTAGCTTTAGGTAAGCGTTTTCTCATTGCAGCAGCTTGGTGCAATGCTCACGCTTTTCACCCATGAAGGAAAAAAGGCATAGAGAAATTAGACTGATTTTGCATAGGGTCTCATAACTAGTAATAACTTGTAATTGGGAGGGAGAAAATTCTTGGTCAGGACCTTCAGGTTCTAATTTGATTTTCTCTCCATTTACCCTGCCCACAAACCCTTGATTAATATCAATTTCTCTGTGATTAGCTGTATTCCTATGTCTCTGGAATGTGTCTGAAGAGACCCAGAGAAAGGTGTGTGGAGGAAGAGAGGAGGAGACATCACTGTCCCCACTGGACATGCAGTCACACAAAGTCATCCCAGGTGCCAACATTAAAGCCAGGAGGTCAATTCAAATCTTGGAGCCATCCAGGCGTAGCTCCTCATGCTACCTCCTGATATAAGACAGTGGCCCAGAGCAGCCTTACCTTGTCCACACTCCAACTTCTGGCAGGTATGGTTGGTGGGCACTATGAAGTAGCCACCCACGCATCGTGTACAGATGTGTGCGCTGTGGCAAAGCTCACAGTTGTCTGAGCAGGGCAGGCAGGTGTGCCCCTCGGCAGGGTAGTGGCTTGCTGGGCAGCTCTCCCAACACTCCCCCTGATATAGGAAGCGCTCCTGGCCATGCTTATCTGAACAGATGGAGGGGTAACAAAAAGAAGGAAAATGTACAAAATTAACTGTGAAGCTAATATAACCTAAGATTTTTTTTTTTAAAGATGTAAGTATTTTGGCTGCTAGGGGACCAGGAGTATAAGAATGCATTTAATGAAAATTGCAATATCTATATACTTATAGTTGAAAAGTTTTCATTGTAGGGAATAATTTTTGAATATTTTGTATATTTGAGTGAGTAGGGACTACCATCTGTAATGTCACTGCAAAAGCAGAAACCACACTCTGTGAATAACTATAAGTCAGAAAGTGTTTAACTTTCCCAAGGGCTCTTTTTGGTATCTGTGAAAGCTCTCAGACTTGGGAGCTATAGAGGTCCTATAAGAACAAACAAATGCTTACTGATAGAGCCATTTTTGTAAGAGTGCAGTCTTTTAGAATGATTTTGAATTCTGTTATCAAAATCACATGCTTGTATTAACTGTCCAAAAATCTGAATTTTTGCATTGTTGCCAACTCCTACGATGACAGCCTATTGAAGTGCTATAGACCAAGCACACCTTTTTGACTCCTTAAATGGATTTTTGGAAGTCCTGAGCTTCTGTCAACATTGGAGTCTACTTGGAAAGAATTAGCAGTATGTCTAATATGAGACTATGGGAATATGCTTTTGGAGGGGATAGAAAATTCGAACCAATTATAAGTCACAATGAATGAGAAAGGATTATAATCAGTTTATATACACATAAAACAAATTAACAAAATGTGCCTAGAGGTCTCCTACCCTCACCCTACTGGAGTTTTTGTTTGTGCTGAGTGTATTTAGGGTATCCATCTTCTCTGGATTAAGTCTCCCATATGCTCCTGCCTCTGCAGAACAGCTGACCTGTGTTTCCCAAAATAACTGGGGCTAGTGTTCACTCATGATATACCACGTGAAGATCCAGAAATGTTGACCTTCAAGGTGCAAGGTTGCTGAATCTGTGGATAAAGATATTGCTAACCCTGTGTTGCAAGGGCAGAATCTTAGTATAATAGATCGAACCACATGAAATTGCCAACATTCAAGTATTTTTGTGTCCAAATGATCCAACCTGATGTTTTGTCCTTAATTAAGTCCCTAGTTCAAATCCAATTTAAAAATCACACTCTTGGATTATGGGGTCTGAAGCTACCTCTTTTCTATTTGTGATTTCCAACTGGAAGTCTGCTGGTTCCCAAGGGACAAAGCCAATAGAGAGGATTTCCCTAGGGTGGTGTAAGAATGTGTCTGCGCTCTCCAAGTTTGAATTGGACGAACATTATCCTTTAAGGGAAGGAGAGTGTTTGGGAGGATGTAATGTGCATTTGGTGATTCTACAGCTGCAGGTTGATATGGAGCACAAACCCCTGATCTGGTGGAACATGGAATCTCGACACCACAAAAGGGTCAACCTTCCAAGCTCTGTTCTTCTCAGACACTTTATGAAAACCCTAGCAAACCCCATTTCCACCAAAACTCATTCAGAAAAGATCCTATTTTTCAGAGGGCTGAACTTCTCAGATATAGGTAGGAAGATTTGAGAACAGTGAGAAGCTACTTTCTCCTCCATTCAGCAGTTGCTATCCATGCCCTATACCCTCCCACAACATCACCTCAGGATCCAGAGGCTTGGGACCGCCTGGGATATATTGAGATCTAAATACATATTTGTTGTATGAATGAATGAGTGGCTAAGTGCATTAATATTGAGCAATATTCCCATTTTTCTAACATATCCACCTGGATCAACAATCTGAAAATAAAAATTAACAATGATGGGTTCCCATATCGGAGGAAATGTTCTCCAATCCCATTTGTATTGTTCAGACATGGCTTTATTATTTCAACCTCGTTGGGTATTATAATTTGAGTTTAAAAACAGATTTGGATGGTCTTGGTATTTAAAATACATGGACCCTGTAAAGGAGTTGACTTAGATGCCTTGATCAAGGGCAGCTTTTCCTACAGATTTCGTCCAGAATTACACCAAGATTGGCTCAAATTTCTAATAGCCTGGGTAGTATGGCAGCTCTGGGTAGTATTACCAGCTTTGGCTGGTAATTTGGATACCCCAGTGATTTAATTATCATGCATAAATTTTTGGCTACTTGACCAGAGTCTCAGAATTTAAATTATTATGACAATAAATAAGGGAAGCTTGTTCTAGTAGCAGAAGGGCTGATATTTTTGTGAGGTGCTAAACCTTTCATGTGATAATATGAGTCAAAGTGCAAGAAACTCTGAGAATGGCTTTCATTTATACCTAAGAGCAGTTGGCTGTTTCCAGAGCATCTCTTGCAGCTAATTTCATTAGAAGAGAAGGTGGACTCATGTGAAGACAGCATGCCTTCAGGAAGAAAGAAAGGTTGAGGGTGGAAGACATGAAGGGAAAGGATTGCTGGAAATGATGAAAGAAAGGCTGAGGGGGTGCCTGGGTGGCTCAGTCGGTTAAGTGTCTGCCTTCAACTCAGGTCATGATCTGGGGTCCTGGGATTGAGCCCTGCAACATGCTCCCTGCTCAGTGGGGAGTCTTCTTCTCCCTCCCCTCTGCACCTCCCCCCCTGCTCGTGCTCTCTCTCTCTCTCAAAGAAATAAAATCTTAATAAAGGCTGAGGGATTCTGAAAGTAAACTTTATAAAGTTTAGTTTCAACATTTTTCTTACTGTAGTTGTTGTGTGATTGGTCAAATTTAGCTTTGGGTTCAGTTTTGTAGAGGAAAATCTGGACAAGAACTTAGAGGGAATCTTCACCAACAGGGCTAGAAGTCTGTATTTTCAAAAGGATTCAAACCTAACTCTTAACAAAATTACAGTTAAGCAAAGGTGAGATTTCTGTGAACTGATGCGAGATGCTTATGTGTGTATTTGGCACCCTGTAGTCAGAGGGTTTTCAGCCTTTTATTTTTTTTAACGATTTTATTTAAGTATTTATTTGAGAGAGGAGCAGGGGGAGGGAGGAATGAGGAGAGAATCTCAAGAAGATTCGGTGCCCAACATGGAGCCTGTCACAGGGCTGAATCCCACAACCCCGAGATCATGACCTGAGCCAAAACCAAGAGTTAGAGGCCCAACTGACTGAGCCACCCAAACACCCCTCAATATTAAAGCCTGTTGATATGGAACTGCCTCAGGTCAAGCATCCCTTGTCTTTAGCACTGTTTCATGTACTGTCCATGCTAATATATGCACTAGGGGCATTGTGCTCTTAATAGGAGGGAACCCTGCTAATCAGAGCTTGCTCAACAATGCCTTCTCTGGCAAGGCTTTTCTGCTCACTAGAGCTGAAAGTGATGTTTCCCCTCTGACTTGTGGTAGGATTCCTTCCTTCCTTTGGTCTTTAATATTTTCTTGTTTTATAATACATGAGCACAAATCCCTGTTAGGCTGTAAAGTCCTTGAAGGCAAGCATCATACAATCATTTACTGCATTTTCTATGGCAACTATGTGTAGTAACTTCTACATGTGAACTTTTGTTAAGATATGGAGTAAACATAGACTTTTAAACAAAAAATAGAGAAGAAATGTCAAAGCATCTTTTGTGTGGATTGGTCCACGTAACTATAGGATGCTTAGAACATATTAGACATTTGTTTGGTACTCAAGCGAATCCTTAATTTTGGACTATGTATGAAGATTTAGTGTGTTTTAAGTGTGAAAGGGATTTTAGATGCTGTCTTGTCTATGTGCCATCTCCACCCCCATTCTTTTTTTTTTTTTTTTTTTTTTTTTACAAACAAGGAGAAACTTAAAGAGGTGGAACTAGAACCCAGGTACCCTGATTGCTGGTACTGATATTCTTTCTGCTGAACCATTCATTTATTCAGTTATACTGTGCATGCTGATGCTCTACCAGTGCTCAAAGCTAGTGCTCAGGTAGAAACCATTCACTGCTCTTACAGGACATAGAGTCTTATGGACAAGATAGCTATCAAGTTTGAGGATGACTGTAAAGGGGTAAGTGGAGGCTCCAAGGATGCACATATGGAGAGGTCCCATCCCAGATAAGGAAATTGGGGCAGCCCTCATTGAGGAAATGATGTTGAAACTGAGACCTAAAAATAAATAGAGGTCAGGCAGATAAGTGAGGAACATTTCCAGTGAAGTCTTTGAACAGCTAGAGAAATTCACATGCCCACAGGAGTAAGTAGGTACGAACAATAACAGTGGTAGTAGTAGTAGTAGTCTAGAAGTAGTAGGGGTAGTATTTAATATTTATTGAGTACTTCTAATGTGCCCAGCCCTATTTAAGTGCTTTGTTATTTTATCTCAATTAACCTCATTTCATTGTCATAATCTTAAAAGTAGAAAACCATTATCACCATCCTTTAGATGAGGAAGGAAACAGGAGCAGGCTACAGAGAAAAATTGATATAGATCTACTTTGTTTACATAAGAAACACAAAGAAATAATTTTAATTTACACAAAGAAATGTGTTCTCTCCCATTTTCCTGCAAATGCATGATACTCTCAATTTGTTCTTCATTTTTCTTGGTTATATTACAAGGAAGAATAAAGATAAATAATTCTCTTCCACCAGAAAAAAAACCATGTAAGCATGATAGCAGTGGTAAATGATGGCCTTGGGATCAGTGAGATGATAGGGAGCGGTGGGGACTGTGGAGAAACAGAGAGCAGCCTCTGATCTCCACTCAACCATCTGGGGAATGTAGGCCAAGTGGTGCCCAGTGTTGTGCTCCAAGTTTTCAAAAGAAACCAAAGCAAGCCAAAACAAAAACAAACAAAAAAACCAAACCACCAAGGTTTTTCTTTGAAATTTCCCAATTTTAAAATTTGGCTGAAATGTTAAAAGGTCAAGTAAAATATGAATCTGGCCCACATGAGGTCAAAGTGGGGAACAGGCATATGAGGGGAAGTTGGGAAGGAGTCAAGCGTCAAACTGTAGAGGACCTTTGAGATCATGGAATATAATCCAATGACAGCAGAAACTTGAACTGTTAAACCTGAGACAAAAAGTAATATTTCTGTGTTGAAACAACTCCTTTGTTCCTGCAGTAGGGCTCTGACAACTTCTAAATGGCATAGCTCAGGGCTGAGGAGACGTTAACACAGCCTCTATTTCAATATTTCTCTTGAAGACTGAATGTGTCACCCTTAACATCCTCGCTTTTCACTTTCACCTCAACAAATCTTAGCTTTCCTGACAGTCTCATGTCTGACATCATGTCTGAATGACCTTTCTTTCTCCTTCTTTAGAAGGACATCTCTTAGCTTCTCTCTCATGTTCTTAGGGGCAGTGAGTCTGCGCCTACGATAATGTGATTTCATTTCCTGACAAGAAGCAGAAACTTCAAGGTGATACACACTCGCCAATGAACAGCTGTCTAATATCTACCCCTTGTCCCCAGAGTTGAAGCTTCTGAGTCAAACCAGTGGGAGAACAGCTTTGCAGAAAGGAAGAAGAGAGCAGCCAGACTTCCTCACCTACTCCACAGGCAGTGCAGTTGGAAGGCTCATTTCCTTGGCATTCTTGGCAGGTGTAGTGGCATAGATGGCATTGGTTCTCAAATTCAAATTTCCCTGAGGGACATTTGAAAACGCAGCGGCCATTGTCAAAAGTCCTAGAGGAAGAGCAGATTTCAGCGTTTGAAAGGGTGACTTTCTGGAATGGCTCTAAGTATGAGAACATGTGGTGTTCATGTTTCAGTGCACAGACTTGGTTTCATTGTTCCAGAAACAAGGGGGATGCCTGGGACTGATCATCTTAGAACATGTGGAATATTAGTCACGTACCCATCCTTGGCCCAAGGTTTGGACCCAACAGCAGGCATGCCAGAAACTGGCTCAGGATGCAATCCGGAGTCTGGTTCCAAATAAGCTAACCAGTGCCTGCAGGGATTAAACCCATAGTGTGGGTCCCAGCCAAACGCAGTCAACAGTCAGATGGAGGTCTTTAAATTTTCAAGACACTAAATAGGCCTCTGAATCCAGAGGCCTTGGAGAAAATATTCTTCCTTTAGTTATCAACATATGCACACTTTACAAGGGAAATGTCAACATCAAGGGCTCTCAAAAGGGTAGAATAAAGCGCGGTCCTGGTGCTTACGTGCTACTTATAAACTTGGCCTATGTATATGGCAAGTAATCGATAAAAATGATTTTGAGTGTCAATTTTGCAAGCGTTTCCCGATTTCTAAAGTACCAACTTTTTTTCATCATGTTTGCAAACACCTACAAGGACACCACAGATGAGTTATCATGGGGCTTCTAAAACCTTTGATTTTATACACATAAAATACATATCATAATGTCACTGTTAATATTTTCATAGTCTTGCTTCTTTTCTTCCTTTGCAAAGTAATCCCAAGAGCAAAGAGGATTAGGTAAATCGTATCCAAAAACTTCGCTTAGAAAAATACAAAATGTTTACCAAGCGCAAGAGTCAGATAGGTGATGCGGTAATAAAGTGAGCTGTGGGGCTCCACCCCCAGAGTTTCTGATTCAGTGAGTCTTTGGGGAAGAGAGCTGAGAATTTGTGTTTTTTAAGTTCCTGGGTAAAGCACATGCTGCTGGTCTAGGGAACACATTTTGAGAGCTGCTATTCTGCCTTCTGCTCGCTGTTAGTATGGATTACCATGGAATTTGCTAAATGAGTCCTAAGTTAACACAGGTGGTGTCAAATTGGGTCTGTTCAAGTTTCTTTATAGTAGTAGCTACTGTTCGGTTGTGAGGCTAACTGACCATGTAGCACACATGTACCCCCGATGGTATAAGGTTGGCATCCTGGCCTGAGAGAGCGGAGGGCCTGTCAGCAAAGGTAGGGCTCCTTTCTCTCTCTATAACTCTCTTCCCCCAAGCCGGACATCCCATGGAAGGTCAGGCGTAGGCCTGGGGTGCACTGGTGTGTCTAAATCCCACTGTTTCTACAGCTAGAGCCAGCCCTGAGCTGGGAATGGGCCATTTCAGTCACAGGGCTGTGCAGGTTGGAACAGGACCAAGGCAGCCTGAATAGGGTGTTGCTTGCGATCTTCCATCTCATCTCCACACCCTGAGAGTCTGTGTCAATTACATCTGTTAGAAACAATGGGATTGGGGCGCCTGGGTGACTCAGTCAGTTAAGCGTCTGCCTTTGGCTCAGGTCATGATCCCAGGGTCCTGGGACTGAGTCCCACATCAGGCTCCTTGCTCAGCGGGGAGTCTGCTTCTCCTTCTGCCTGCCTCTGTCTCTCTCTCTGACAAATAAATAAAATCTTAAAAAAAATTTTTTAAATTTCTATAAAAAAAAGAGAAGAAACAATGGGATTAACACCACCAACATAAAACAGACAGCCACCTCATTCTTGCATTCTCTGCCTTCAGGTTCTGGTCACCACTGGAGTGAACAAGCCTTTGAGCCCACTGCAGGGCATCAAGTCCCAGCCCTAAGCAGACACGTATGCACATCTGGTTGTCCATGTCAAAACAGATCCCTTGCACCACGGTGTATAATGAGAAGGCTGTGGTCCCAGCCCAGATTTTTAGTTGATGGCACTAATGCCAACTGGGAATATCCCAGCCCCACCCTGGCTCTGGTTTCTGAGCTAGAAGATTTTTCAAGGAATCATTTGGATGTGACTAGTTAAAAAAAACCCAAAACCTGCCTTTAAGAAAAACTGCGTAAGAGCTTTCTGAGGTTTTTTCAACAAGGAAGCTACTAGATACTCTGCTGAAGGGAGAATGGGAATGTTTACTTGTGAGGGTTCTTTTTTCCCCCTAAATTCAGTTGCAAAGGGAATGAAAAGTATATCGTCATTTTTTGCCTTTTATAGAAAGAGCTGACGAATTTGTTTAGGGGGAAATAATTTCTCTTGGGAGAGGTGATCTAATACTCTTAATGATGGGAACCGTGTAGAAGCGTCCAGAAAGTGGGGGTGGCAGACTTGGGGGTAAAGCCAATGGTGTAATACTTTTGTGTATTATATACGGTTGGGGGTGCCTTTCTGACTTGAGTGCTTGATTTTAAGAAAATACCAAGCACATAATGGTGCTTTAAACCACCTCCCTTCATATTTACCCGAAGGAACGCATAGGTGAAGTACACAGGTTTTTGGAAGAATGTGATTCTTTCTAAAGATCAAAAAAGAGAAGGAAAACAGTCATGCTTGGGTAAAGGCACTGAATTACATCATCCCTTGCACCCTCCATCCCCCTCAAGGAAAATTGCTAAGGACCTTGAGAAAAGTACCATTTCAAGTGGCACAGATTTCCACTGACACTAACAAATCTTCCCTAGTGGAGGAGAATAGACAACCTTGCTCTGGGCTCCATGGGGCTAAGGACAATTTCCTGTAAAGCCAACTCAAGCCATTTCTAGGACAGCCAGTCATCCACTCTGGACTTCTGAGACAATTGGGCAAGCTAATCTCTGCAGGGGAGGCATTTTGTCCCCAACTCAGTCATGCTCTTAGCCTTTTCATAAGCAGTGAACAATTCCAGGTCCAATGGGGCTTATGGAAAGGAAGAAGTCGGCAAAACCAAGTGCTAAAGAGCTGGGCAGAGGTAATGTTCTCTACACTGGCACTAAATTTTCCAGACCCCCCAGTGTGTGTGTGTGTGTATGTGATACAAACGAACAGAAGAGATGGCAAATCAGGGTTAGTGGATCTTCTGCTGATTGTTGGTTTGGCCTTAATAAGCCATCACAAGGGCACTTAATGTAATTTCTTGGTACTTTAATTATTTTTAAGACTTTATTTATTTGCTTGGAGAGAGAGAGAGGGAGAGCATGAACAGGGGGAGGGGCAGAGGGAGTTGGAGAAGCAGGCTCCCCACTGAGCAGGGAGCCTGACTGGAGGGAGGGGCTCCATCCCAGGCCCCCCGGGATCATGACCCGAGCTGAAGGCAGACACTTAACCAACTGAACCACCCAGGTGCCCCTGGTACTTTAATATTAAATCAGAATGAAATCTGGGAAAAAGTCTTTTTTCTCCCCTTGAATTCATTGAAACAGATCAAATAAAACATTTGAGGGAGGGTCAGAATAGAGGTAACTTTCAATGTTTTTAATTGGTTCATCGACTCTATGACTCCTTCAGGACTGGGTGGGAAGCCAGCTTTGGCCAGGAGGACTATGAGGATCACAGCATTGCAGAGCTCTACATGTTAGATAGCAGTGCCAACAGGGGCTCTTTCTTCCTCCAAGTTTTCAGTCATCTCTAAGGAGCTGTACCCAAGGGTTAATGGAAATGTAAAGTGAGAACTAGAATACAAAGAGAGGGCTTCCTAAAGTTTGATTTTCTGTAAAACAAGTCCAGGGTTATGTTATTTTTAAAAATTTTACTAAGGAGAAAAATTAAATATATATAAAATAAACACATATACAAGACATAACAGTACCCTTTCCTCTGTATTCATCTCTCAGCTGCAACAATTTCACTGCATGGTCAATCTTACTTATATCCCCACCGAGTTACTTCCCTCCCATATTATTTTGAAGCAAACCTATAAGTTAAATATGAACACTTCTCTCCTAGATAAAAACTCCTTTAAGGGGGGGTGCCTGGTTGGCTCAGCCAAGCCTTCAGCTTGGGTCATGATCTCAGCCTGGGGCTCCCTGCTCAGTGGGGAGCCTGCTTTTCACTCTCCCTCTGCTCCTCCGTCCTACTCATGCCCTCTCTTTCTCTCTCTCAAATAAATAAATAAATAATCTTAAAAAAAAAAAATCTCCTTTAGGGATGATTTTTTCTGCCATGACTAGAGATATCCAAAAGCTTAAGACCAGGAAGAAACTTGGACAAACCAACTCTCCTGGTTATTCTTCTGTCTGTCTCCTTACCCTTGCTTCAGATCCATTTTTTTGTCATTCTCTGTCCTGCTGTGTCCTGGAAATGTGCCAACTAGAACCTGTCTCCCCAAGCTCACTTCCCCCATGTGTAAGTGGTGTTTCCCCATTGGCCTCCAGTTAATTTCAGACAAGGAAAAACACCAGCAGATCTGCAGTTGGGAGGAGAGGGAGATTGGGGGTATTTATTCCCCCCCTTGGGCTGCAATTCTGCATTCTCCTTCCATGGTTCTGGAGTGGCTGTGTCCCCTACAGCTCCACTTTCTATCAAGCAAGACATCCCCTCCTCCAGGGTTGCAGCTTTTGCTTCAGGTCTAGGGTGTTAAAGCTGCCCCACTTTTGCTGGTCCCTGAGCACTTCACCAACCCTTGATTTTGACCTCCTGAGCTACCTATTAAAATTCATGGACCTTGTACCTAACTCAGAGCTGGACATAAAGCAGGTGCTCAAGACCATCTTGAATGGACCCGATTCCACTCAAAAAAATGTTATGGAAAATACTTAAGAAAAATACTTTGCTGACCTTTTAAGAACAAATAAGTCAACACCAACATCTTTCAAAATAGTTTTTATCTCTTCATCTTCTCAACCCTGTTCTAGGAAAATGCAGATTAAAAAAAGATCAAGTAGTTCATTGCCATGATATGATGCCCTTTCTTGGACATATTTGCAAGTAATTTTCATCAAGGAAGAGAGATGAGTGAAACGGAGTGCTCAGGGAGATGAGAAGAAAATTCTTCCTGGGAAACAAGAGTTCCTTAGGAGGACGCATGAGTTCAAGATTCATGAACATGCTTTTCTTTCTTTAAAAGCTAAATCATGGGCTGCTTAAGCCAGTTATACTACCTGTATCTCTGATCTTCGTGTACCAATGGGATTCAATTTTTTTTTAATGGCTATTTATGGAAGTAGAGTTTTTTTTCTCACTTTTGATGTGCCTGGGACAACCATGACTTCTGCAGTATACACTGGATGATAATAGCTGCCTTAGTAAACAAATGCTAGTAAGTTCCCTTAGTTCAAAGATGTCCAAACATGCAGTGGGATTTAACTGTTGATATGGTGAGGAATTAGGAGAAACGGGACCCATATTCGGAATGATGTCTGTACCTAAGAGTATGTCCTGAGGCTGCTTTAAAGCAAATCCAATATGTAGAGGCATAGGTATCTAAAAGAGACACTTGGAAAATGTTACCACAGTTAGCATTGACAATTCTTAGGACTGTTCTTTGGTGTCTGTCTCCCTTCCTCCCTCCATCTCTCCCTCCCTTTTTTGTCTTCCTGAGGAAGCTATTTGGGGAGCCAAGCCCATAATATTGATTATATACTTTATCATTTCTTGAATTATTACTATGTCTTGATCACTGTGGGGGAATAGGGAGACAAATACAACCACAGTTCCTGCTCAGGATGTTATAATCCTGAGGAAGAATTAGATGAAATGACTGTTGTACAAAGCAGAGGGAATGTCCATCCTAGGGATTCATTTGCCACTGAAGCAGCCTCATCATACTGGTCTGGAGAGAGCCTGCTTCCAATGCACTTTGCAGAGATGTGATGGGGCTATCCTTTCAAACACTCGGTCACCCAGCAAATATTAAGTGCACCAATCAGAGGAGTGTCGACTAAAAATGCAACAGGCTTCCAACTCTCTATACTAGAAATTCCCAGTGTATTAGCAGATTCTCATACCATTCAGGTACTTATTTCCCCATTCATTCACCTTCCAAACATTTATTGAGTGCCTACTATTTTCCTTGTGCTGTGATAGGTAATGGAGATACAAAGATGAGTATTTCAATGGGCTTATTGAAATATAGCTCCTCTATAGAGAGATAGAGATTTGTAAATTAACGTTTTAAAATGTCACAGGTGCTCGTGGAAGTTTATACAGAGCCCAGAGGAACATAAAGAGGAGAAGGTTCATTCTGGGAAGTGGTCAAAATGCCTTCATAGAACAGTTCATCCTTGAACTGATTCTAGAAATATGAACAGATATTTGATCAGCAGATGGAGATGATGGGTGTGCAGAAGGGGATGCAACTGCAGGTATCAAAGGCACCATCATTTTCATTGTTGAGGAAACCCCTCTAGTGTCCAGGTAACTTTCTCGCAGAGGGTACAGGACATCATGGGGAGAAGATGCTACAGAGGTGGGCTGTAGCCAGACCACAGAGGGGTTTTGTGTCATGGGAAGGAGTTTGGTTCCTTTTTCTGCAGGCCCAAGGGGTGTCTTTAAGGTGGTAAACACCTCCTCTCTCCATCCTGCCACCCATGAGCTCTCAACCACAGGAGATACTGAGAGGCCACTCACCTTGTGATGGGGCAGTCAGTGCAGTCTTCCTGAGTTGGCCCCCAGCACTTGGCACACGAGGCTTCACAGACCTGGCAGTGACCATGTTCATCAATGTATTCTCCTAGGGAACAAAATCCAGTTGTTTACCTCATTTCTGCATGGCAGTGCTGCCTAGGCTTTCAGTCTGAGAGCAGCCAGATCTCTCTGTGGCTGCCTAAAAGCAATGGAAACAACACAGCGAGGAGACCTTGAATGGCTTCAGTTGCCCGTCCTAAATCCTGACCTTACAATAACAACTGCTCCTCTCCCAAGGGCCTCGGAAGTTGGAACCTCAAAAAGTTATGAGGCAATGACATAATTTTGGATCTAGTCAACATGTGTTACAGATTTTATAAGTAGAGAGAGGCCAACGGGGGCTTCTCACAGGACCCCTATACTGATCTCCTTCTGACTTTCCTGTAAAAGGCTGAGGGTTCTGGACCCCAGAGACCCCACTTATAGCTTTGGTTCAAGTCAAGCAACAAGCAGGACCCACCCACCATTCTGGGGGTATTGTGGTTACTGGTTAAGAAGGGGAGTCGAAACTTGGCTAATGTTTGACAGATGTGAGCTGCATCTCACCCTGAAAGAGTAACAATGAAGAGATAGCCAGAGAATCCTTCATTTAATTGGAAAGTTTATCTTTCCCAAGGAAAAACACATAGGAGGCCTTTCCACAGAAGTAAGTCCAGCCTTACAAACTCCTTATGACCATTTAAGAAATTACTCTCATAGTAAAGATGGTGGAGACAGACCAACCTCTTTGAAGGTGATAATCCAGTGATAAACCAATGATGGGTCTCTACTCATTGAATTCAACTCTCTACTCACACTACACATGTCCTTTCCTCCCATTGTCCTAAAAGAAATCGACAGATTTCTTCAGTCTGATCCAAAGAACGACTTGGTATTATTTGGAAACAGATCATGCTCAGAAAATATAGTTTCAGATTTCAGCAGAATCACCCCACCCCTGTAAGTATGTCTGAACATTGTCAATCTGAGCTCCAGACAGAATAGTGAGGTAGCAGTTACTCATGCATGGTTTAACCGAGGTGTCTTACTGAAACTCTGAGATTTGCTGCTTGATTTACTGTAGTTGCTTTGAAGGCCTGGAAACACAGACTTGACTGGTGAGAGATGGAGGGAAGTCCACTCCTTTGCATTGTCTCGTAGCTTTACTGAACTAGTGCAGTTGGGTGAGATAAACCTTATATACATAAATCTTTCCCTTGCACTAAACCATAAAAATGAAAATGAAGAGGTAGGTAGAGTTTGTCTTTTGATGTAGAGTTAGTCTATTAGTTTTGTTAACTAAAGGGAAAAGGACATATCCAGAGCAATGCAATTATCTAGTATTGGCACACCCTTCACATCCTAGACTCTGCTCTTCTTCATCTTCTAGTTGTTGCCAAGTAATATGATATATAACTTTTAGAATGGAACCATGGTTCTTAGGTCGGAGTGACTCCCAGGAGCCCGAGGCCCAAAACAGTGCATCCCCAATGGGGGCAAAGAATGTAAATGTGCAATTTGTTCACTGCACAAGGTGTCTGCCCTAGTGGTCAAGTGGAGGCAGAAATCCAGCCCGGGTTCATCTCACTGAGCCATGCACTCTGGTGTTGGCTGCCTCTGCCTCTGTAGGGGACGCTTTTTACTAATTCACACAAAGGTATTAGAGTGGACTAGTGGCATTCTTGGTCATCAGAAAGAAAGCTTGGTTTCCAAGGCAAAAAAAGGCTGGGACTTCTGTCTAGTAGGAGTGGGTGATTTCAAGTTGAGACTGTCTGACTCAATATAGGCATCATATTTATGCGGCCTTTTATTTATTCAGGTTCCCCATTCCACTTCTTAATTACTGCCCTTGCTGTAATCTTTTCCACTTTTGGCACAGTGTGACCTTTGCCACAACGAACTGAGCAGTAATTATCAGTCCAGTCACTAGCAAGAAAACGAGCAGAGGATCTAGAACAGACCTGGTAGGAAGAAGGAGGTCTTGCCTACATTGTCAATGCTAATAATTTGTTTATGGAGTTGTATGGTAGCTATGTATCTTTCAAAAGGTGTGGACTGAGTGGAACAGGAATAAGAGATGGGTTTCGCAGAGGCTTCTAAACCCAAAGAAAGTGTATTCTAGAGAAATGTAGGATCATAGATCCTTCCTTCCTTCCTTCCTTCATTTATTCATTCATTCTATTGATATTCTTTGAACACCTAGGTGCTAGGTATTAGATGGACTAGATATACTAGTCAAATATACTAATCAAATATATACTAATCAAAAAGAACCTGCTCTTGGGTTCTCAAAGATTTTTGAGAAGAATGATTTGTAAAGAGATAGTAATAATTCAAATGCTAGCCAGGCGACTTTGACTTCCTCAGACAGTCTAGATTAGAACAGAAGAGCAAGGGCATACACTGGACTCTCTGCTAGACCTGGAGGCAAAGACAGTTACTTTGCCTTGGCATTCATGTGGTTTGGTTTTCCTAACTCCTGATAATCGTCCACCTTAATCTCCATGGTGTCTTAGATCCACTGCTAGGATAGGATTTTAAGCTAAATGCACCCTGCTCTGCTAAATTGAATGCTGTTTAGATGGTTCTGGGAGTTATTCCATATCTATGCCCAAAGTGTCCTTTGTAATTACAGAGGATGCATGGCTAGGTCAAGCAAGAATTATTCAAATAGTACTATGAAAATTTAGAATTCTCTAGATCTCTTGTTTGCCTCCTCATTGGCACCCATAAGCCAGTAGGTGGCACTGATACCTTGGCTTTGTACTTGATCTGCTCAACTGGAATGCCCTCTGTTGGCACTCAGAAAGTGCCATCTTAGATATAATCATCACTTGAAATTGCCCCATCTCTGAGATTTCAAATAACCCCTCCAAAACACCCTTCTAAGGACCCACTATGACTCTAGCTCACCCTGCTTGATCACCCTTTCATTCATCTGTCCAGTTGCCTCTTGCATTTCTTATGGGGGCTAGGCCAAAACTTCCCAAGACCCAAGTCCCACTCATTCTTTTTCAGAAGGTGACCTCACTACCTCATTTGCTGATAAGATACCGAGTTTCTCCAGCATCCTTTTTCTTGATGCCAAAATCCCTATCTTTTCTGTGATTGTTCACTTGTCTCTTCTCTCTGTGGAAGGTACGTTGCTCCTGGCCATTGTTGGCTGTCCATCTAATGCTCTGGATCTTTCTTCAGGACGGTTTTCCACCAGTCTCTTTGTCTTCAATTGTTTCTTCACATCTCTCATCATCCTCTGATCTACAAAAGTTGTCCCTAACCTAAGACCTGCTCAAGCACTTTTCTTCCCTGATAACTGACTCTGAAAACATGTTTTTCCCTCCTACCATTTAGACACAAAATGAAGAAAACCCTCATAACCTTGAAGCTTATGTAAGTGAGTCAGCGTAGGACAGCTAAGCTGTGCACCTCTCTCAAGCCTGCATGCCTCTTAACTTTAGAGCAAGGCTTGGCTTTGAAACAGATGAGAATAGAGGGACCTGCCCTGATTTTCATAATTATGTAGATGTCCAATTAGTTACATAAACAACTGTCCCCAACCCCAGCCGTTGCAGGCCCAAGTTTTCCATTGCACATTTGAAACCAAAAAAAGGCAGATTCCAAGGACATAGTGAAGTTGCTTTTTTCTTTCTTTCTTTTTTTTGTTTGCTGGAGCAGCAAATTCTTGTCATCTGTCTTCATTGCACAATGAAACTAAATGTTTATGACAGGCGTGATATACAAAATTCTTGGAAAAAAATCACTTTGAGCACAGACTTCAGGGGCCAATATTTTGTTCTCCACTTCATCCTACAAGCTCTTCCTTCTGGTGTCTTCATCTATTACTCAGTCCAAATTATCTTTCTACTGTGATCAAAAAAATTTCATTCCCCTTTTAGTTCCTTTCTCATCTCATCCCATAATAGTTCAAAGGACATGGAGGAAGTGGTGTCTCATGGGGAGGGCTGAAGACACAGCTTAAAAATTAATGCTTGTCCATTGAAAAATTTACAAATAAGTCACTTGCTGTGCTCGTTTCACCTCTTGATAACATTGTACAATGTGTTCGTGTTTGCAGATCTAAGTTAAAAGTAAGCTTTATGAGGTCATCCGGAATATGTAAACATTTATTACATCATCCACAGCTACGAAACATGATTGAGACTCACATAATAATAATTTTTAGGCAGACATGACCAGGAGAACTTCCATTTCTCCTGCAGCAATGTTAGGCTTTCTTTTGTACTTTGTAATATCCTTTATGGATTAGAGCCAAATTTGTTGTAACATTTGAGCAGTATATATATATACATATTCTAAATAAATGAATAAACACAGAAGTAGATAATGTGAGTATAAAACAACTTTTTAGCGAGGGTGATTAGTAAGAGAGAAAATGGGAAGAGCATTTGATGAGAGATCAGCCATGTGGTTTTGATCTGGTTATTTCGGTGAGCCACCTTGGGATACTGAATTATCTGTAGGATTCTATGTATGTGCTTTATCACTCAGATGCCAGGAATTACAGAATGTGACTTTCCTGAGTGACTCTACAGCCACAAGGCTAATCAAGTAACACTATTTCTTTGCAAGGATGCCAATACCTAGTTTCCAACTTAAGATAACCACTGTGTGAAGACAGTTCTCATGAAAAGAAATCCATACATTTATTACTTTTCACTAGCTATAATAAGTACTCAGTAGTATTTTCAAGTTATATACTAATGAAATAACTCAGTTTTTAAAGCCTTGTTGAGTGTGACATTTTATAGCAAGGCTCAAAATATGGGGCCATAAAGTGAGACTGCAGCAGCTTTACTTCTAAGTCTACACAATTATTCCGCCTTAAAAAGGAAGGAAATTCTGACACGTGCTACCTGTATGAACCTTGAAAATGTTAAGTGAAATAAACCAGTCACAAAAGAACAAATGTATGATTCCATTTATATAAGGTGCATGGAGGAGTCAGATTCAGAGGGACAGAGAGTAGAATGGAGTTTGGTAGGGGCTTAATGGGCACACCATTTCAATTGGGGAAGATGGGAATGTTCTGGAGACAGAGGAATGGTG